GAACTCCTGGGTTGCTGCTAAGGTTTAGGGTTTAGGGTTTAGGGTTCAGGGTTTAAGGTTTCGGGTTCAGGGTTTAGGGTTTAGGGTTCAGGGTTTAAGGTTTAGGGTTTAGGGTTTAGGGAACTTAAATTAAGTTGCTATAATGGGTATATAAGGTAGATAGGGCATACAGGGCGTATAGGGTATAGAGGATTTAGGGTTAAGGAACCTAAGTTAAGTTGCTAGCATGGGTATATAAGGTAGATAGGGCATACAGGGCTTATAGGGTATAGAGGATTTAGGGTTAAGGAACCTAAGTTAAGTTGCTAGCATGGGTATATAAGGTAGATAGGGTATATAGGGCTTATAGGGTATATATAGGGTTTAGGGTTAAGGAACTTACATTTACTATAACGGGTAAGTTCCTTGAATCCCCATATTTCCCCGGTTTCCATGTGATTTCCCATTTTCTTTTCCATTTGATTCTTCATGATAGGGTGGAAAGTGTAAACCCTAAACCCTAAATCCAAAATCCTAAACCCTAAATCCTTAACAGCAACCCAGACTCTGCTTTGTGGGCTCGGGAGGTTTTTGGGGCTCAGCGGTCTGGGACAGCTTGGGATCATCCGGCTTGTCAGGCAGAGACTTCTGCTCACAGACGTCCTGGTCGAGGGTTTAGGGGTAATATAACAAGGGGTTATATGGGGGTTATACAGGGATAGTGGAAAAGAAAATGGAAACTACTATTTAGGGTTGAGGAGGTTATTGCTATTTGGGGTTTAGGGTTTAGGGGGTGTAGGGTTTAGTGTTGAGGGTTTAGGGTTCAGGGTTTAGGGTTTCGGGATTAGGGCTTAAAGCTTAGGAAATAACAATGGTACAGCAATGAGGCTTAGGGTTTAGGGTTGAGGGCTTGGGAAATAACAAGTAATCAGACGTCCTGGGTTGAGGGTTTGGGGGTTAGGGACTGATAACAATACAGTAACAAGACGTTTCGGGATTAGGGCTTAGGGAATAATGATAGTACAGTAATAAGACGTCCTGGGTTTAGGGTTTGGGGAACAACAATGGTACAGAAATGCGAGATCCGGCGTTTAGGGCTTAAAGACCAGTCATGGTATAGCAATAACCCTAAACATAACCCCTGAACCCTAAACCCTAAGCCCTCAACCCGGAAGCCTGAGCTCTAAACCCTTTTTTGCAACAGGTTTTCTGAATCCACCCGGTAGCAGGAGCACTCAGCATCACCGAAGTCGCTTTTAAAGCAACCCCAGAAGCTTGACCCGACTTCACTAGATATGATCTGATAAGACACCACCTTCGTGAAAACCTCTAACCCTAAACCCTGAACCCTAAGCCCCTTAATCCTGAATCCCTAAACCCCTGAATCCTAAACCCCTAAACCCTCAATCCCTAAACCCCTTAACCCTGAATCCCTAAACCCCTGAACCTGAACCCTAAGCCCCTAAACCCTCAATCCCTAAACCCCTTAACCCTGAATCCCTAAACCCCTGAACCCTAAACCCCTCAACCCTAAACCGTGTCCTGGTCCAGGGCATAAGCGAAGTCCAGGAGCGATTTCTCGAAGTCCTCTGGGTTGGCCCCTAAAACCCTTTGAAAACTATTAGTATATAGGGTCCCTTAACCCT